GAAGGCAAGCACGTTACCATTAAGACAACGCGCTCACTCTGCAAATAATAATTTTATTAGTGGTATATCTGCGACATATTAAATAATTTTTTTCATTGAAATTCCACAAGATATGGTTTCACCCTTCCGCACGTTCTACAGTCGGCTAAATTTCAGTTAAATAAATAAAAACAAAAAGTATTCACACCGCAGAAAATAAAATTCACCCCGTCGACTTGATAAATACCCCAGCATTGCAATAAAAAATTGGTTAATAAAAAAAAAAACACCCCAGCATTGCGTGTGGCGCCCTCCCTCTCTTGGGGTGGAGTACTACGATGCCCCTGGGGTCACTCAAACCCCCAGAACAGAGCCTCTACAATTAATCAATCCTCTTTGTGTATATGCATCCCCTGTACATGCACATACATACCAATAAATGGCAGCATAAAATCCAAGATGGTGCTCGAAAGTACGATGATATGGTAAGTTTTCCATCTTTAATTCAATTATTTCGCTAGCTGCATTTTTATTTGGAGCCTCTAAACGTGTGAATATTACTCCATAATAACCAATTATAATTTAAACAATTAAATTCCCGGAGAATTCTCAATACCCATACTCGTAATTCTGTTCAACAGATTCTGTTTTGAGAGTGACAATGCAAAAGTTGATGGCCGTCATGTCCAATATTCTTTATTTTACCAATGCACGTTTGATAAAATATTGTTTAATTTTATTTTTAGTGTCGACAACAGCGACTACATGAGAAATGGCGATTTTTTACCAACTCGCCTTCAGGCCCAGCAAGACGCTGTCAATTTGGTCTGTCATTCAAAAACTCGATCTAACCCCGAGAATAATGTTGGACTCATCACTTTAGCAAAGTAAGTTATAACTTATCTTTCCCGCTGCATTCCTCAGTCGAAAATAAAATGAACGAGTTTTATGATTAAATTAGAAATGATTCTGCTTCCAGTGTTGAAGTACTGGCTACATTGACCAGTGATGTTGGCAGGATTCTGTCAAAATTGCATCAAGTTCAACCGAGTGGCAATCTCAATCTCATAACTGGAATAAGAATTGCCCATTTGGCATTAAAGCATCGTCAAGGAAAGAATCACAAAATGAGAATTGTTGCATTCGTTGGAAGTCCAATCGAACTTGATGAGAAAGAACTAGTTAAATTGGCTAAACGTTTGAAAAAAGAGAAAGTTAACGTGGATATTATCAGTTTTGGTGAAGAGGCTGTGAACAATGACGTCTTGACAGCCTTCATAAACGCCTTGAACGGCAAAGATGGCACTGGAAGCCACTTGGTTACTGTTCCACCAGGGCCTCATCTATCTGATGCACTCATTTCTTCACCAATTATCCAAGGGGAAGATGGGCTTGGTGGTGCAGGCATGAGTGGTGCAGCATTTGAATTTGGAGTTGATCCCAACGAAGATCCCGAGCTTGCCCTGGTAATGTTTACAAAAAAAATAATAATAATACTATAAGAAGATACTAATAAGAAGAATAATTTATTTTCAGGCACTGCGTGTATCGATGGAGGAGCAACGACAACGCCAGGAGGATGAGGCTCGTCGTGCACAAGCAAAGGAAACAGCATCAGCGAAGCCTGAGACAATAAAAGAAGCCCCAAATGAAGAAGCGATGCTGAAACGCGCCCTTGCCATGTCCATGGAAGGAACAGAAGAGCTGTCTGCTGCACCAGAAGTAACTCAACCTAGTTCAGCAAATGTACCCGATTTTGCACATATGACTGAAGAGGAACAGATTGCATTCGCCATGCAGATGTCTATGCAAGACCAGCGTGAGTATTTACCTTGTGTCAGGCTCATTGTATAACTCAGTATTATTTAAAATGATTTTTTATCTCTGTGGATTATAATAGAAGACTTTGAGCCCCAAAAAGAAGAAGCAATGGATGTTGAGGATGATTATGTTGCTGTCATGTCCGATCCGACATTCCTACAGACCGTTTTGGAGAGTTTACCAGGTGTTGATCCTCAATCTGATGCTGTGCGAGAGGCAGTCGATTCATTACAGCAGAGGGACAAAGAACTGAACAAGGATAGTGACAAGAAGAAATAGATTATTTTCCATCATTTTTTATTACCTAAAAAAAATTATTTCTCTGGATGTATTTCCAATTCAAGGTATTTGATATTCCCAATTGATGTGTGTAACGAATTTGTATCGTTATTCGCTTTAATCAACAATAAAAGTGCATAAGTAAGACAATTGCATTCTTCTTTATTTAATTTTCAATGGGATAATGACGGTCTTGGAATTTATTTTAATTGAATATGTCCATTTGAAAATAAAACGACTCGTACAATCAAAAACTTATATTACTGAGTATCAGTTATGTACAGTATTTACAAGGTTTGTTTATTAAATGAGAAGTATCAGATTTTTACGTTTTGATCTTCTTCAATATAACTCTGCCTCCCGGTTGTACCTGAACTTTGACATCACTCAAAGTTGTTGACAGTTCTCCCTCCACGGTTTTAAATGCTTTCGGTCTCTTACCTCTGATTCTCGTAACGGGTACATTATTTTTATTTTCTGAAATGATAAAGAGCAGTTGAGACATGAGTCAAGGATAAAGAGAAAATTAAAATAACTCACTGATGGAAAAATAAACAGGAATAGCCAAGCCCCTTGTCGTTTTCACTGTAATAGAACGAATATTTTCCCATCCTCCAGGATACTCCTGCTCCAATGTTTTACAGGCTGCTATAATATTTTCAACAATTTCTCGTTCGCTCATCGTTACAGATGCTACCTGCATTGTGTGACAATTACCCAAGCCATGAATCTCCATACTTGTTTTTCGTAATGCATTTTCGATTTCACTCTTCAAGTTATCCCTTTGGAGTTTAACTGGTGTAGGAGGACGCGCTGCTCGTCTGAAGGTTTTGCCAAGGAGATGAGTCATGTGGCCAGCAATTCTTCCATCTACCAAGAAATAATCAAACAGTCGTCCTAGTTTGAGTTTCATCTCGTATTGACTGAATTCAGTTTTCACTCTATTCATCGGAATAATCTCTTTGATCTGCGATACATTTTTTTCTCTTAAAATCGTTTCCCAGTGGTCCACTGTTTTTTCATAATCTTTTCGTCGACCTTTCTCCAAATCAGGTACGAATAATGCCACCTCATCTGTTGGACCAAGCATCATATTCGGTAAAAATCTGAAATACAATTTGAAAAAATAATTAATAATAAAGCACAAGGTCGCGGTAATCGAGGACATTTAATTTATTTACTTTTTCATCATACATGACTATCGAATCACGATGTACTCATAAGGATCCATTGGTAATTGATGTTAATAATCACGTGAAAAAGTAAAAAAGTAAAAGTTTATCTCGTGATAAGGAAGCTGTAAATAATTAATATAAACTCACACTCTCAGCTGCCTTCTAGGTGTTTTCGGTATTTTTATACAAGTTACTTGGAGGAAGATATTATTGTCCTCCTCAGGCAATAAAATTTTTTTTCCTTCCTTTGGCTTCTTGGCCAATTGTAATACGGTTTTAACGCATTTTTTAACATGAGCTTTCGTGATTTCCATGTCACCAATCATCTCTGCAATATTTTTCACATCTTTTTTTTTCTCATCTCGAGATTTTGTTTTCGTGCCTTTGAGTTTTGTCGTGACGGAAGTCTTCAATTTTTTTGTCGCCGAAGGAGATGCTTCATCAGGAGCCACTCTCTTCTTAACTTTCGACAATTTATGAAGCTTTTCAGGGTTAACCTCACTTTTGGGAGCACATGGTCCTCGAGATGCGCCGGAAATTTTCTCTGCTTCATTAGAATCTATATCACTTTTTTTCTGCTCCACCAAAATACTTGAAATTTTATTCTTCATTTTATTCTTCATTTTATTTTTCTTTTCTATAGGCACCTTTTTCAATTTATCCTGAATTTTACCCATTTGTTTATTTTTTTTCTGTACTTTTTTTAATTGGGTCTCTACGGTATGTTGAGGATCTTCTTCGATTTTTTTATTTATTATTCCCATTGATTTATCCTTTTTTAAAGTCGTTGCATTTTTTCGTCTAGTACTTGTACTTTTTGTCTCCGTGGCATGCGTTTCTCCTTTAGTTTTCTTGATAACACCTTTAATCGATTTCATCTTGGTCCAGTCTACTCAGAGAAATTCAATAATTTTTCAATATTTCATTGTTTATTATCGCATGAATGTTGATAGATATTATTTTATTATAAAGATTAGTAAAGAACGCGTGCTTACTTGTGGCTGGATGAAGGGAAAAAGAACGAGCACGAGGCATCAGTACAGATGCTCCGGTTTGAGAGGGAATTAAATTGTTTGTCGCCATCTAGTTGAAAAATATTAAACCCCACGGAATGTGTAAAGTATGAAAATTGTAGTGGCCGCTCTGACTCCATTTCGTGCGAAAATTATTGAAGGAGAAAGCATACATCGCTGGTATGTAGCAAGACCTGGAGAAAAAAAAAACGGAATAACTCGTATGTGTGAATCAATTACAATAATAGAGACACAATTTACAATTGTTTAAAGACACAGTTGATTAATCTGAAAAATTGATAATAAATAGTCAGTGAAAAGATCATCAACAATGGGGGAAGATTTTAATGGAGGTAACTATAACAAATTAGATTGAAAGAATGTTGGAAGTGAGCATCAGGACGCTGAAATATTTTAGCCCCTTCATTTCCACGGGGAGATGAATTTTGTTTTCTCATTAACTCTGAATTAATGGAATCTAATGATTAATGATGGCAATTAATTATCAAGACAGAGATCGTGGTGATCGTGATAAGGAGAGGGAGCGTGAGAGGGATAGAGAGCGTGATAGGAGACACAAATCTAGGAGTCGAGATCGTAGAAAACGTTCTCGATCGAGATCGAAGGATCGACGTGACAGGAAACGTAGCACTTCACCAAAAAAAGGTCGCAGTTCAAGGAGGAGAAAGCCATCACTTTACTGGGATGTACCACCACCTGGTTTCGAGCATATTACACCCCTTCAGGTACAGAACAACACATTTTTTAATAAATGTTTTAACATTGTTGTACAATTTCGGTTATTCACAGAGTTTTTTTTATTATTGTATTCCAGTATAAAGCTATGCAAGCTGCTGGACAGATTCCAGCGAATATTGTGGCGGATACACCTCAGGCAGCTGTACCTGTCGTCGGCAGCACGATAACACGTCAAGCAAGACGATTATACGTGGGCAACATTCCATTTGGAGTTACTGAAGAGGAAATGATGGAATTCTTCAATCAACAGATGCATTTGTCTGGATTGGCACAAGCCGCTGGAAATCCAGTACTTGCCTGTCAAATTAATCTCGATAAAAATTTTGCTTTTCTAGAGGTGAATTTTTATTTTTCAATAATAATGATAAGAAAGGAATATTGAATAATAACCGTAATTAAATTTTGTGATTGTGTTTTTGTTCTAGTTCCGTTCAATTGACGAAACTACACAAGCAATGGCCTTTGATGGAATAAATTTCAAAGGGCAGAGTTTGAAAATACGTAGACCCCACGATTATCAGCCTATGCCTGGAATGACCGACAACCCGAGCATGAACGTGCCAGGTACGGTTCCCGGTATGTGTCGCACATACAAATTTATTAATTTAACATGTGTATCCCAGCAGAGTATCCCTGGTGACAATAGGTGTTTTCGAACGATGGATTTTAGTTAATTTTATTATTAATTCTTCCCTCAGATTCGCCACACAAGATCTTCATTGGTGGACTACCAAACTACTTGAACGAAGAACAGGTATGCCGGCAAAATGATGAAATTTGCCTTTATACGTGTTTTTTTTCTCTCTCTATTTTTATTCACCGCATTTGGCTCGAATTGATGCTGATTATCATTCGGAGAGAAAATCTGTTTATTTTAATTTTTTCTTCAATGAATTCAGTGTTGATGAGACTAAGTGGTATCTCATGATGAAGAAAAAAATCATCATTAAGTATTTAGCTATTTAAAGGAGAGTCCAAGGGTTTCGCTTGGATTAATTAAGAGTATTAGTAATACGAGGTCCGCAAACAGGTACGTATTGGGCGTTTATGTGTCGATCATGGCGCACAGATGTCATCTATCAAGAGTAATTGTAAATTTGTACGATTATTTTTCCATTTTTATTATCATTTTCGTCACTTTCTGCCGCGACTTGTTAGCTCAGGTACTGTTAGGATCAACGACAAATTACTCAAGTGGTTTTTAAAGTGGAGAGACAAGACATTTTTTTTTTTCGGGCAATAGAAAAGAAATAGAGACGTTACAGGATTTAGGTGGAAGCAGCTGAGTTCGTTCCGTCGAATTCCTTTATTTTCTTTTCCAGCCTTTTTAGGCACAGCGTGTGGAGAGTGAACGCGGACAGCTCTATGTCAGCTCTGAGAAAGGGAAAATATAACACAGAAAAAAAAAAAAAGACAAATGCAGAAATGAATTTTAGGGAGAAGGACACGGGCGGTAAAATATCCAATTTTTTTGGGTCAACTTTTATGTTTACAGGCGTTGATTAGAAGGGTTCATTAATTTTTTCAGCAGATTCTGTTGAAATTTCACACCTTTTTAGGATATCGTCGAGACGACGGCCAACCAATAGGTCGTTATTTCAAATATTCTTAACAAGTAATATATCGAAGAATATGAATATTATATAAAAAAAAACAACAGCAACAAAAGAAGATAGTATCTGATTTGTTTCTCTTGCAGCTACTTTCTTTACAGGCTTTTCAGGCTTGAACGATGATTTAAAAAAAAGATTTTCAGCATACGCGATTTCAGAAACAGCTACTTTTCTGCTGATCATTTGAAGTCCACGGGAACCGTAACAAGCCTATGAGGAGTTGAAAAATCAAAAAACAAAAACAAAAACATAAAACTAATGACAAAGAAAAAGAAAAAAAACTCTTGAATGAAATAGAAACGAGATGAATATAATGTGGACTGATACCAGTGCCCTTTCTCCCTATTTTTCTTAGCTTAGGGTCGCGCCGATCAAAAGCATTCGCTTACCACTTCCATCACTACTACCACTACTGAACATGACAATAAACCACACTGCCCGGAGAGAGTGGCTAAGCCTGGCTTTTCGAGGCAAGTACCTGTACAAAAAATCTAATCTCTTGCCAAAGAACAAAGAATTAAAATGATAAATTAAAAAGAAATTATACGAAGGACCCGTTAGAACGTGCCAACGATTATTCACAAATTCGATAAATACGAGCCCCTTTTTTTTTTAAGTATCCAATTTTATGGTACTTCACAAAACGATAAGTTGGTGAAAATACGCTCATAGGGAATTATTTTTATTGATACGAAAAATGGATAACAGCGCGTTGCTTATATTGTGGTGTATTCCAGTTGATTAATTTTTTATATCATCTGTAAATATTGGCATTTTGTAAAAACCACTTTCTATGCAATGCGCGATTACACCAGTTTCGTTACGGAATTTTCATTGTACTCGTGAATAAATCTGTCGTTATACGAATAACAAATGGTGAGTATGTGCGAGAAGAGAACGTGAAGGAAACTCGTTGGACCTCAATAAGTGGAAAAAAAATATCTAGGAAATTAAGGAAAGCTAAATAATTGAGTATCTCATTAAAGTCAGCCAAGAAAGCCACTAATTATCAATATAATGATAATTAATGGTGGGGGTTGTTGGTGATTTGAAATGGATATTTGATGATTACGTGTGCAAGGTAAAGAAGAGATATTAATGCGAAAATGACTGAACAGGTGAAGGAATTACTCATGAGTTTTGGACAGTTGAGGGCATTCAATCTTGTGAAAGATTCGGCAACGGGTCTGTCGAAGGGCTACGCCTTTTGCGAGTATGTTGATGTATCCATGACAGATCAGGCTATTGCTGGACTCAATGGTATGCAGCTTGGTGATAAAAAGCTCATTGTTCAACGTGCCAGTGTCGGAGCTAAAAATCCAATGATAGGAGCCCAGGCACCTGTACAAATTCAAGTTCCTGGATTATCCATGGTTGGCACCAGTGGACCACCTACTGAGGTAAATATTTCTTCATCTATTTTAAAATGACGAGTACTCCAAACAAATGATTCATCAATTTATCTTACGTCTGTTATCAGGTACTTTGTCTATTGAATATGGTAACACCTGAGGAACTCATGGAGGAAGAAGAGTATGAGGATATTCTCGAGGATATCAAGGAGGAGTGCAACAAATATGGAGTTGTCAGATCTGTGGAAATTCCTCGGCCAATTGAGGGTGTCGATGTACCAGGATGTGGAAAGGTAATTGTTATTTTATTTCCATCCTTGTTGAAGAATCTTGAAAAAAGCAGGTACTATGCATTTTTTAAATAATTTTTCAGGTATTTGTCGAGTTCAACAGTGTTATTGACTGTCAAAAAGCTCAGCAAACTCTCACTGGACGAAAATTCAATAATCGTGTCGTGGTAACGTCATACTTTGATCCTGATAAATACCATCGACGTGAATTTTAAATAACTCAAATCAGCATTACACATCAGATGATAATAAATCCTTCGATTACAATCTATAGTTGAGAATTACCGTATAACCGATATGACTGATTGTTTTTTGACGCAAATCTACTATTATTACGATGATTGAAATTGGCCTATTTTTTTTCTCTTTCATATTGTAAATTCCTTTTATGTTATTTTATTTTATTCCAAGAATAGGACGCATTAGTATAATGTGATTATTATCACATTTCACAATCGGCTCAATATCATCAAATTGGTGTGATTAAACAGCAACATGAAAAATTATTATGTCCCCCTACATAAATCACTTAATAATTATTGAATGAATTATAAATAATAATGAAGTGCATTCAAAATTGGTTTGTATAAAATAAAAATTAACAAGTAAATTTTTCCTCATTTTTTCTATTTTCTACTCTATAATTATTCGGCTTGTGTAAAAATTCGGTAATTTATTTGCAATAAAATTTATTTTGATTGTGTCATTAATGTGGAATGATTACACTTCATCCTGCATGGCTGGATGGTAAGTTCTTATATCGTTATCGTCAGTACCATTGACGACGAATTTTCGGAGCAGAAGGTAGAGTCCTCCACCGAGTGTTAACATTCCAATTCCGCAGAGAAGAACGATAGACCAGGCAGGTATAGCAAGACCTCCTTTAAAAAATACCCAGACAATTTAAAATATCCATAAATATAGATATAATACTCTATGAATTTTACTCAGCAGTTTTACTTACGGTAGTAATGTCGAGTGAGTGTTTTTCTTCCACGGAGAATTTTACGTCTTGCCTCCACTTCACCCATGAGCACCCCGAGGATTACTATGATTCATCAACACAAGTAGTGAGTGTAATTATTTAAATCTTCATTGATAAGCATCGCTGGGAAAATTAATTAATTAATCAATCTCAACTCACAAAATCCTACCGCAACGCAATACAGAATAGTGCGTGTCCGCATTTTTTGACGATGTAATTGGGCTCCTCTTATTCTCAAAATTCTCTCAATTCCTTGTGTTACCTGCACGTCAAACACACGACTAGAATTGGGTGTGAATCAACTCCATGATAACGTGTACCCAGATAACGTGAGATTTTTCGTTATCTTCTCTGATACGCACCAGGCGCAAATCGTGTGTATCACTCGTAACTGTTCTTTTAAAAAAATGTCTTTGGATAAAGCCAGGGTAGAATAGAAAGGTAGTTAGAAATAATTCACCATGCATCACTGAACGCAATATTTTATTAATTTCGAAAATAACTTGGCATTAAAGACGAATCTCGTAGGAATTTCATCCATTCAGACGATTCTTGTAACACAAATGATTAAACAGTTCAATTCACCCTCGTATAAATCCAATAGCCGTTGACCTAGATAGCGCAATCGAAACTCATCTTCATCTGAGATTTTGAAAAATCATGGAATTTTTTCAAATGAAACAAAACATTCCGTACAAACAAACGTAAATATCCCATGATAATATTTATAATGCTTTGAATATAACTTTAATATAAATAGCTGGCACATATACAAGGCATTCACAGGCATGAGTTTTCTTATTCCTCCATCGGTTTCATCATTTCATCGCAAGAGAAAATCAAAAATATTATTTTCCCATTTACTCCCTCCTGTTTCCATTCAGTCTAGTAAACTTGTTATTAATCGTTTCTATTCCTTCAATAACCCTTCCCTGAAAGAGAGAAATTAAGAAACCAAATAATACCTTTCTTATTATATCAGTCGAGTATTCACGCCGTTTTCTCATCTCATATGCATTATCATTACGCATTTTCTTATCAATGAATGAATAGCGAATTCTCGTAAATACGTAAGGAGGCGAGAAACATTTTTCCATTCATAATATGAAATTAAGTAAATTAAATACCGTAAAGACCAATCAGTAAAAAATTGTACTAAACGTAGGATTTCTCAGAATTCACCATATTTTTTAAAATAAAAAAGAGAATCAATGGTTCATCTAAAAAGTTATGTTAATTATCGTGTAACAGCTTTAAACACTTTCTTCATTGCTTTAAAAGCCTAGAACCTACAATCATCTAACATTTAGACCCCAAGTCATTCTACCAAATGTTCAATATCGGCAAATACATTTTTACAAGCCATTCCTCTCAATCTTCCTCTCAATCCACTGTCCAACTTTATCCTTCTTTTTTTTTTTACAAGAAATATATTTACGTATACTCGCGTGTTCAAAAACGAATTTATTACTTCATCTACGGCTAATGCCTATATACTCTAAAAACTTGACTTGAAATATTTGTTCTCTCCCTTCTCAGAGTTGTTACAATAATTTTTAATTAGTATTGGATGGCGCGTAATGACTTCGGTGTAATGTCCTCTCGAGTCTAATTTATCCTAGCTATTATATTTATCTTACTTTATTGTTTGAGATTCAATACTTTTGTCAATTCTCTATTCGCCTGTTCTCACTCAAGATATTTACTTAATATATCGCCTACTAATTCTCTAGTTTTATGAAGCGCAATTAATTGTTCACAGCGCCGCGATGGAATAAACAACATAATGCTCGTTTAATTATTGTTTTTTTTTTTTTTCATTTGAGGATTTACGCTTGGTAGCAATGTTAATTGAATGATTATTATAAGTCTTTTCAATGGGATCTATCAGACAAAACGCCAAGCCTATTTTTCAAAGGATAGCATCAAATCCACACTAGCGTACTACTACCGTAGTACAATTATAATTCTCGCGGTAGACCGCCCTGAGCAGTATATATTTTTGTATTTATTATATCAATCATCTCGGTTGCTTTATTTATTCATGTATTTATTCGCTGGGAGTTTTATGAACGTCCACGTTAAAGCTCGACTACTCTGTCTCAATTAGCAGCAACAGAATCACTCGATGGATTATCGTATAATTAGGTTACCGAATTGTCACATAACTTTTATGAATTGAACATTTGAATTTACCTAGTGGCTAGCTTGCACTTTTCTCGGGAATATCTTTTTTCGTTTCACTCAAATGACTCTGCGAGGAATTTCTCGATTCATTTGGTAAATGATCTTTACCATCATTGACAGATTCCTCTGTAGATGTTGATACTGCGGTTGGAGGTGTCACGTTAACTTTAGATAGTGTCTCGGGGATATTGGTCTTGTGTAGAATGCCTTCTTTTACCAAGACTTGTTTAAATATCGCTAAAGTCTTTCGAAGAGTGATACAAAAACCTCGGGACGCCGGGACAAGGGGGAACTGCGGCAGAATTTTTTCGTCTACGACAGAAAAAATAGATTAATTGGATTTTATATTTTGTTTCTTCATAAATAAAATGACGTGATAATTAATGGCAATTACCGATATTTGAAAAATCTTTGAATGCAGTCGGTGTGAGTGGTGACAAGGGATGCTGATTATTATGCTGTTCAGATATCTCCATCCACATTTCCAAGCGTTGCAATAATTTTTCAATATGTTTATCAAAGTGCCTGCTAATAGCCTCCTTGAAAACAGCTGGTGGATGTTGTAATAATTTAGTCTGTGCCTGAACCAACTTTAGAACAACCATTTCGTTGTACATCCTTGAATTTTCCGTGCCCTGTTGAGAGCCTCTCTGTTTTTCGAAGCCAGCCTCATTGAAATACGGTTCAGATACGAGTATCAATCCCTGAATCGATACAATAACTTGAAGAAGCGTGGAAGAACTTGTCCATAATTCAGTGCCTCGTCCAGCCCACGTGCCCAAAAGACTGACACATACTTTACCGTCCTCATACAAATTGGGATTTAATCTGTCACTACAGTATGATATGTAATGACAGAGTGGAGGTGCGGCTGGATAATCAGCAGACAACTGGAAATCAAATAAAAATAATCCATCCTCGTACGGAGTCTTCTCCGGTCCTCTGAACATTACGGAATATAAATCTATCCTGTCTTCGAATCCTTTGACCCAAATTCCTGGAGGAAGGGAGCCTCTCAATAGTTTCAATTCTTTGGAAACTGTTCTGAAGAAATTGGCTGGATCTGTTGGTTGGAACATTGTTAATTTAAATTTGTGACTATCCGGGGCACTTTCATCAACGGAAAATCCTTCCCCCTCCGTACATAATGGCATTGACATCGGCATTGGCATTGGCATTGGCATTGTCATGGGTACTGGTGTTGGCATTGGGATTGGCGTTGATGGTGACTTTGACACTGTCATCTCCATCGGTCTTTCAATGACAAGAACAGACTCCTCAGCGATTGGTTTTTCCTCCTCAATTTTCTTCTGAGGCGAGCCCGTTTTAGTTGCATCCGATAATGACATCCGAGATAAACCAAATCGCTTTGATACTTCTGCATGCGCCAAGAGAAGTTGAGCTTTAATTAGTGTACAAAGTTTAACGCAAACGTGTGAGTTTGCAACGTGACAATTTATAAATGTTTGAGTGGATTTGGTTTGTCCATCTGTCGAGTGAGCATCATCTGGTGGTGGTGAACGATCGGGATTTGGATCGTCAGAGAGTGGAAATTCCCCGCTGGAATCACTCGAGCCGGATTCTTTTTTTGAATTTTCAGCGGAAAATAATCCAGAGTCTTCTGGATTGGGATTTGAAGTTGGATTGAGTTTGACAGTGATGAAAAGTGACGTATCGTCTTTGGTTTGGATTGGTTGACTGGTAATATGATCAGTAATTGAAGTTATATTTTGACAGATATTGCCAGTTGTATTTTCCAAGGTAGAAGGAGAAATATTATTTATCTGTGTGGATTCGTGGGCGCCGGACTCGTGAGTAAATAGTCTATTAACCTGATCAGCAACTTTTTGAGCAACATTAGCACGACCCCTTTCTCTCACACGCTCCAAAAGGCCCTGGAAATTACTTTCATGAAAAAATGATGTACCCATTAGTTTATCCATACATCTGCAGTCTTTGTAAACTTCAAGGAGTTTTCTCATAACTTCAGTTGTCTGTAGAGATGGATTCTGAGTGAATATTTCTTCAAGCCTTGACATAGCGATTCTCGCCTTTTCAATGTGCGCTGCCAGTTTAGGCTTAATATATTCAGTTTGTTCAGTGCCATCATTATCAGCGATAAAGCAGTCTTCGAGTTCTGTCTCCCATGAGGCATCAGACGACACTTCATCCCACAATTCACCCTCATCGCTGTCGTATTCACCAACTTTATAGAGATCTTGAGGCCAGCACATACTCACATGCCCATCCACCCACCAAACTTTAACTCTACCCTCTGGATAATTATCCAGTACTTGACCAGCCGTGCAGCCAGCGTCCTCACCCTCAAAATTGGCAATACGAATGACTAGAGTACCTGGACGATATTGAAAATCAGGATGATCTTTCAAATCATACACTGAAACCTCTCTTTCCTCCAGGAATGTTGGTTGGGGTGTTTGACTCGATGTGTAAGTGCGAAACCATTTTATTTTAGCTGTTCTACCTTGATGATCCACAGACTGGACCACTCCATACATTCTGGACTCCTCTTTCTGATCGATAACAAAATCACCGGGAAAAAATTCTTTGTCATCCAAGTGATGAATTGGATAGAGCTGAGTCGAGGGTATTCCAAGTTCTACCGACCCATCTTGCCAAACAACATTGGCTCTTGTATTTGTTGATAGAGTTTCAACAACTATTTTTGAACCAGTTATCAATGGAGCTGGTGCTACTTTTTTCTTCGCCTTTATCAATTTTTTTTTCTTCAGTACTTTAGTCATTAAAGCCGGTCCTTTCGATTTTTTTTTACCAGTCGACGACGAACGACTAGAACCACCACTAGACATAGAAGCAGTATCACTCTGCGATGCTGTATCCTCAGTATCCCAATCATCGGAGCTATCATTATTGCATCCGCCAATTGACGGAGGCATCAATTTACTGCTATTGCTATTACTCACATTAATCGTATTATCATTGCTCGTATTTGTCTCGACCTTAGCATTTTCAGCCTTTATTTTCATTTCTCTCGTGTCTTTATATTTTCGTGGACTGTGCTTAGGAACTTGAAATAATTCTCGTTGCTGTTTTCTCCACTGCTCGCGTGTTATAATATTTTCATTTCCATTCAATAAATAAAAATCGCGATCACCAACCTGCAGTGTCGAGGGCTCAAATACATTGAGAAGCTTCAGTTTCTTCAAATCATCACCCTCAACCAAAAATTTTGGCTGCATCTGATGGGACCAGGCACCATCCTTCGAATAAGCTCTACACTGCCAGTGCACACCAACCCAATCAGCCTCCACTTGTTGCACTATAACTTTGGTTTTTTTCTGAGGTTTTGATTTACGTTTAGCCATCATTTCTTTGGTGCACACTATCCACTCAGCATCCTCCAAACACTGAATCGGCCCCCAGAGACACTGTCCTGGATAAAATTCTGATGAATGAGGAAAATCATTGTCACTGTCTCGTCTTTCCTCGAAGTGAGCTAGACCTTGTGCATCCATTTCATTGATAACACAACGTGAGCCATCGGGAGTGGCCAGCCACAATTTGAAATGTACCATTCGAATTCCACCAACCCATGAGTCCATACAAACAGCAATGTCCGTCCCAAATTCCTGTCCATACAAAAATCAAAGACATTATTCAGAGGTACAACCAACAATAGCAATAACAATAAAAATGAATAAAACCTCTAGTGGTGTTAGATCTTCACTCTTTATGTTTGTGAGGACTTGCTTCGTGCCAATGACCTGCACACAAGCTGTCAATTCGATATCTCGACAATAACCACGTTGAGTATCCTTTCCTTTTATCATTCTCCTCACCACATCACCAGGCATCAACGTTCTATCAGCTAAATGCACCTGTAAATTTCAATTTTAAATTTTCAGAAAAAGTCATTTCATTGCACATTTTTTTTCCCTTTGGATATTTATCATGGCACCTTTTTGGAATTGACTAGTTCTTCGACACCGGATGGATGCCACACCACACGTATTTCTCCCTTCTTCCTCCTGGGACTCTCCTCGCTATCAGAGCTCGATTCAGACATGTCCTGATCATCGTTCTCCATGACAATGCCAAATTCGACATTACCACGTTTATCAACACGATAAACAACATCCTCGTAGAAATATTGCAGATCGACAGGCACATTCGTGGCCATTTTTTAACCACCGAATAGGTGGGATCTTATTAACCCCTTCACGAGAATGGAAAATTATATTGTGGTATCGGTCTTCAAGGGTTACTTGAAATCTCGTGTTGGATTGAACTATTTGAGATAATCTCGGTGTCACTGGCAACTGCTGAGTAAAGGCATCATCTTAACGATTACACTCTTACGTCTTTGCTAAGAGAAAAAATCATATTACTTACAGTCACAATGACGCCCAACGATTTTAACTATTTCTGTATGATCTGTCCTCCAAATACAGACAGGAACACAGGATTTTCACTTCACCACTCCAATCTCAACACACAGAGGTTATTGCGCACAATCCAATGCGCGAAAATTTATACGTGAAAATTCGCTGATAAAATTTCATCCGATTTATCAACATTTTATATTCGTTCAAGTCAAGTCAACGATTTTTTTTTTCAATTTTTTGTTGGACATACTACAGAGAATTTACGCGATGATCATCGGGAGAGTGAGAAAATTTATTGAAATGTTTATTTATGGATTAAATATACTTTCAGTTGTTTATCGGATAGAATTGGGGGTTAAGGGGAATTTAGAATACCGGTACAGGTCACAAGGATGATTTTTAAATCGGGTGTTTTTAATCGAAAACTTTTTTGTAATTTGAAATTTAATTTCATCAATTTTTATAATCGCACTGTAACGCCTGCGCGAAAATCCCCACTTCTGCCATCGCGTAGGTTTCGTATATATGTACAATATATATGTATACATGGGTACATAGGGGACAAGTGACCCAGTGCTAGCAATGAGTATGAGTATGTACATGCGAAGTGAATTCAAGACTCGGTAACTTGAGGTCAGTGTCAACTGAACAATCAGAGTTCACTCATCATTTTAAATCATTGCTCTAGTTTTTGAAGTAAAATTTTTCGCACCAGTGAAAATAATAAATGAGAAATGGCGGAAAACATTGCGAATTTAAATGAAATAAAGAGTCAAGCGCTTAATGCATTTTTAAATGAATTCGGCGAAGAAGCAACTCACTGTGTATGTGCACCCGGTCGTGTCAATGTCATCGGAGAACATACCGATTACAACGAAGGGTTCGTCCTACCCATGGTAAAATTATAATTATATCTAAAATTACATCAACATTTAATTTATCCCCGTTAATGAATGCGTCAACCGGTATTTATTTAATTTGCTAAATAACAGAAGAGAGATTAGAGATTTAAACCAGAAGAGATAAGAGATTTAAACCTGTTATAAAGTTGAAATATTTTTTCCGCTCAAAATGATAAGAGGCAACTCTGACATTTATGAATGATTATGTAATTATGTAATTAATATATGAGCTTATTTAATTCATTTAATCTAGGGGCTGTAATATTTATATCAAGGAAGACTCGCATGAAGAGTATATTAATATATTATATAAATTTTAATGGTTTTTTGAATTTTGCAGGCGCTTCCAATGGTTACGGTAATTGCAGGAAAGCCCAATGCGACGAAGATCTGCACTATTATATCTGCTAGTTCTGCGGTGACAAGTGTCAGCAAAGCTCAATTCGATATTAGTGATCGATCGGCAATTAAACCTGGCGATCCAAAATGGGCGAATTACGTGAAAGGCTGCGTTGTGAATTTTCCAAGTATAAATAGCATTATTTAATTATTTAATTCGATCCCGATTTGTTTAATGATTTTGGTATTTGACAGATTCGTTGACAGGCTTCAATGCTGTGGTGACATCGAGTGTACCAGTAGGTGCCGGATTGAGTAGCTCGGCGGCACTGGAAGTAGCAACATTCACTTTTCTAGAGGCTATAACCAATCAACCGGTTGCTGATCCCGTGGAGAAGGCGATATTATGTCAGAAAGCTGAACATGATTTTGCTGGTGTACCCTGTGGTATAATGGATCAATTTATATCAGTCATGGGAAAAGAGGGACACGCCCTTTTACTCGATTGTCGTGATAAATCTGTCGTTCAAATATTTATGGAAAATCTAACGAATTATGTATTTCTTATAACGAACTCTAATGCACCTCATAAATTATCATCGAGTGCGTACCGCGAGCGGAGAGATGCTTGCTTCGAGGCAGCTAAAATTTTGGGGAAGAAGAGTCTTCGAGATGTATCGTTGGAGGAGATTGAGAGTGAGAATGGAATATTAACAGTGCAATTTATATTGAATTATTAAATAATTTCACCGATTTTTTTATTGTCACAGCTTTGGAGAAGAGAGGTGCGTCGAAGGTGATGTTGAATCGTGTTCGCCATGTGCTCAATGAAAATTTGAGGACTCGAGCCGCAATGGAAGCATTGCAAGCTGGAGATTATGAACGAGTTGGTGATTTAATGAATGCCAGTCATGATTCACTGCGCGACAATTATGAGGTATCGTCTCCGGAATTAGACACTCTTGTTAATTCTGCTAGAAGTGTTGAAGGGGTTCTTGGGAGTCGTTTAACCGGCGCTGGATTCGGCGGTTGTACTATCACTCTTCTGAAAGAACAGAGTGTATCGCAGGTCATCGATAAAATTAAACAAACGTGAGATGTTTTATTCTAAAAGAGAATATAATAACAGCAGTAGAATAACAGTTGATCATTTTTCTCATTTCCTTTTTTCTTCTCAACAGATACACGGGTAATGCGAATTTTTATATCGCCAAGCCTTCAGCTGGAGCAAGACAATTGGATTGTCGCTGATTTATTTTGGAAATTGAAACGTGCTCTCATTATCCCAATACTGATTATTTATCACAGATGCATGTATAGTGGAGAATTGTTGACGCACTGTCTCGGGATCACAGGTGATGTGTAATAAATTTTGAATTTTGGCATTTGGGGATGCATCCTAGATTTATGGACGTCAGTAATTAGTGCCGAGTTACTGTTATCGAAGATATCATTGAGGACTCTGAAAATAAAATGATTTATCATTCGCAGGTTGTAGCGAAATTAATACAAAATTACCTCTGAGCGTCTCATCAAGTTCATTTTCACTGGAGCATATCCTCATCTCTGAAGGCTCAACTCCCCGGAAAATATTAATAACACTCGGTTTTAAATTGAAAAATATGAGTGGTTGACCTCTTATAACGAAATCTTGAATCAGGTTCTTTATTCCTTTGGCAGCGGTAAAATCAGCCGCCTGAATGTGGGTTGAATCGATGACAACGGGAACATTATTTCCCGATCGTGTACCATGTTTACTGATAATCGCTCTGACATATTCGACACTGGGAAATGCCAGACTTCTATCTGGAGTGATTAACAAGTATTCACAGCCGCTGGGAGTCTAAGAGAACATTCGAGTATCTATGAAAATAATCAATGAATAATAATCTCAATTAAAAATAACTAACCATTTTTTTAATAACTTTGAGACTCGGTCGGGCCGATGCATACAAGAGGAACAATAAATTCACTCCTATTCCGATGACTATTCCCAACTCCAAATTGACAAAAAGACAACAGATAAAAGTGATCACTGCCGGTATTAAATCAATCTCTAATCAAGTATAAAAAATAGAATATTGATTACAACTTAATATGAAATAAAGATAAAATCTAAATGAAGAATAACGTACTTTTTGTTCTCCACATTGGTTTAACCACGTGAAACTCAACCATAAAGACAACCGCTGCGATAATAACTGCAGCTAGTGCAGACTTTGGGATGAAATAAAGATAGGGAGTGAGAAATTGAAGAGATACGAGAACGAGGATACCAGTATAAACACCGCCCAGAGTAGTTTTAACTCCCGATGAGTGATTAACTGCCCCTCGACTTAATCCACCACTAACAGGCATCGACGAGACTAAAGAGGATATTAAATTGCAAAGACCCATGGCCAACATCTCCTGAGTTGCATCAATAGGTTTGCCATCAGCTGGAGATTAAAATGATGATGATACAATTGATGATAAAATTTTCTCGTTGGAAAGGTCAAGTGAAAACAGTGAAAGTTGTACGTACAAAAAACTTTGGCAAGTGCAATTGTTTCCAAAAGACTTAAGAGAGGTACAACGATACATCCAGATCCAAGTGCGGAGACCATATCAATGAAAGTGTAGGTTACGTTCCCCTCAGTTGTTGTGAATGAGGGTAATTGTAATCTTGGTAAGCCTTCTCTGACGTGACCAGTTAAAATAACCGGTGACGATCCCAAACGGTTCTCCAGGTACCAACAAAGTACAGCTGATACAACAACAACTAATATATTCCGTGATGTACTCAAAAACCACAAAAAAGCGCCGACTATTTTCGCCGAAATCCCCGCAGCTTTCCTATCCTCCGAAACAACAGGAATGTCCTTGACTTTCTGTACAAAGATATCACCGAAAATTCATCATTTGGAAATGTAAAAAATTGGATAAAAACAGGGCGAAGCTGAATGCTTAATATACTTGCTCTGAGAATTAATAAAATTATAATAGCTGTGAGTCCCCAGACTGCGTCCCAAAGTCGAGTATCGCAGACGTGCTCGAAGACATTGTGCCATGTATCCAGGAAATTGCCCCCAGATATTCGAATCCCTAGAATATCTTTAACTTGACTCGTTGCAATGATTATTGCCGCGGCGGATGTGAAGCCAACAGAGACCGGTCCGGAGATAAAATCGATGAGAAATCCTGAACGCGTCGTGGCATGACACCAATAAACAATAAAATATTGTAATACCGTAATTTTTTCTAGAGTGAAAAAAAAAGGACTTACCCAATTGAAGGATTCCCATGAACAGGGACACAAGCCCGGACATAAATGCCAGTAGAACAGCAAAATCGGGGCCTAAATGGGACCGAGAAAGTGTTTCACGTGTTAAAATAGCAGCAATAGCTGTTGGTCCCACAGGCACATCCTTGCTTGATCCGAAGATAGTGTAAACAAAGCATGCCATGAACGATGAGTATAGGCCATACTGAAAATATTTATTTATTTATAAATATTGTATTATAAAGGGCCAGAGGACTCGTCATTATAATTATTTACCTGGGGTGGAATGCCAGCTACATTCGCGTAAGCAATAGCTTGTGGAATGACAGTTAATCCAACAGTAATTCCCGCAACAAGATCACTCACGATATAATCACTCCTGTATTTTGGCAGCCAATCGATAATTGGTATTCGTCTATAAAGTAATTTTTTTTTGAAGCATCTTCTCATTCTGTGGCACAGCCATGATTTACTGGAAAATCTCTCTTTTCTATTTTCATCCCCATTCCAGACAACTGTAATAATTTTCCCAATAATTACCAATTTAGCAGTAATTATTATTATTACTTACTGTTGTCTGTCGATGATTTTTCACCCCTTATAATATCATTGGAAAAATTATTGATAATCGTGGTTGTACCTTCTGGTGAACTCGCGAATCCGGTCAGTCGTACCTCTCGTACCACAGATTTATTCTCGTCCTTCATTTCGTACCTTGACATCTTTTATTTAAAACTTTTATCAATTACATTTATTTAATTTGTTACTCGAGCTCCAAGGATTTTCGTGCAAGCGGTTACTGGAAGACGACAGTTAGTTCTGTCTCTTGTAGTTGTCACACCAATCTCTTCCCTCAACTACAATTATAAAAATCATACTCTACCATTTTTTAAATCTATTCTCCTATAACGAAACATTTTACTCTCATTAATATCACGATGACTTAGCACAACAATTTATTGGATTATAGTAACAATTCACTGGTGGTATTTAGTTTGAATTAAAATTTAAAAAGAAGAGTAAACAAAAGGAAAAAGAAAGAGAATGGGAAATTAGAAAGGAGTGGAGCAGAAGGTGAAACTCAGTTTTTGAACTGACGGCTGTTTGACAATTGACATCGATGTTATCAGGTACTTACAGACTGACAGGCTGACAGGCTCCACTCACTATTCTCCGGATACCAGGTAAGATACATCTTCTATTGAGGGGGTAGAGTACTACAATTACTCCACGCATGCGCTTCTTTTTCAAAACAATGCCACGTGCTCTTTACCGCATTATTTATTGACGAGCTCATGATGGAATGCTCCATCAAATTGTCAATTCTCCTCCCCCTCCAAGCGACAACTATTCAGGGAAAAAAAACATTCGCAGGATTGAAAGAAAAATCATAAACGTCAAATTGTTTCACAAGCTATTCTCTTTTCATTTCAGAGAATAACTAGTCGCGGATTCTCGGAATAATTATTTTATTTTTACAAGAAAATAAAACACAGGACTCACGAGATAAAATATTTTTTACGATTAGTCATTAAACATTGGTAGTACACACATGCGAGATTGCATGCACTGAATTTATTACAATTGTTCTTGAAGGATAATGATAATGATAAAATAATTTTTGTTATACGTAACGGGATGGATATTTTATTATAAAAAAAACCATTGGCTGCTGATGGCTGTGGAATTACGTAAAAGAATTTTTTTAAGCCTCAAATCGTCTAGATCGTTTGGGACGCGTATTATTCATGATCAGTGGAATGAAACCGCATCAAAACGCAAACTGGCTTTGTATTCTCTACTCGATTGTGTAAATTCAAGGTCTTCCCAGTCATTCCCAAATGCTCCTCTAGCTTTTAAATTTCCAACACCAAAATTACCATCGATATATTCAACAAATCAATTTAACCGAGACGAAAATGAAATCATCAGGATAAAAAATTCCATCACACCATATTTTCACGATTTTATAATGAGTTTCTCAAAAACAATTTCCTTTTGTCAACAAAAAATGTTTCATAACAGGTCTTATGATAGTAATTATTTCGTGCGTTTCCTGTAATCAGAAGTGATTTTGAGATTGCACAGAGATTCAAACGAGAGAAGTGTCCATTGTGATATAAAATTTGAATTTCCTCTTATTCCAAGGAATTTTAAGGCTATTAGATCTCAATTGGGTTATTCTCGCGATTATTTTTGCTTCAGCCTTCGAAAGAGCAGTTTCCATTTTTTCATTGATCGATTGATTGATTTAACACAGCCTTCGATCGCTATTTGTTTAAACGATTTAATTATGGACTGCTGACTAATGACGATTAATGATTTCAATCCGCAAAAATAAATCTATTATTATTATTATTATACAGATTACATAATCGGGATTAATTCAATAAATGAATGGGTATAAATATATTGAATTACTAACCTATTACGATATATCGAAATTCAATACGAGTTAATTGATCGTTTTTTTTTTTTTAAGAATTTCAAATATTCCCCAAGTACAAAAAATTCAAAAAGTATCTAGAAAATCCCTAAAAATCTAGGGTCAGTGTTGCCTTCTAGTTGTGAAGATTGAGACTAACGAACAGGTGCTGTTTTACATATATACAGCTGTCCATTTACCTGTGTATACGGAGGAATAAATAAATCATAGTAATAATATGTAACAGGAGAAAAAAAATTGAAGGAAAAGAATCAAGGGTAAATAAATTTTATTGTCTCGATCAATCCTCTGCTGTACTCGATACATATATTATTTGAATTTAGAAAACAGGTCAACCAATTGCGACGTAAAAAGTTTGGTCGATCGAGATTTTAAGAGTCGACATTATAATAAATAGAATCCAATTGAACAGGTACGATAATCAAATCGTCAACAATAATTCCACATTGTGAGAATAAAATAGTAAGTGAGCATGAGTACTAATTATTTTTAATGTCATTGACAATGTAGTCTGAGGAATGTAGTTCTGAGGAATTTATGAGAGTAACACGTGTTTAATTTAATTCTTTAATGCAGGAAAATGGAGAAATCCGGTGCATCAGACATTGTTATCGTCTCTGGTAATTCTCACCCCGAGCTTGCAGAATTAATAGCAAAGTAAGAATACCGATTTGTCGATTTATAATAAAGTCTCAGTATAATGGAATTTTCATAATTTTCAGTCGTTTAGGCGTTAAAAATGGTGGTTGTACTGTTTACCACAAAAGTAACCGGGAGACAATGGTTGAAATAGGGGATTCGGTTCGTGGGAAGGATCTCTATATCATCCAAACTGGTACAAAAGATGTAAACAATAATATTATGGAGTTATTGATAATGGCTTACGCCTGCAAGACTTCGTCAGCTAAAAACATCATTGGGGTGATTCCATATTTACCCTATTCCAAACAATGTAAGATGCGTAAACGAGGCTGTATTGTATCGAAACTTCTAGCCAAGATGTTGTGCAAAAGTGGTCTTACACATATTATTACCATGGATTTGCATCAAAAGGAAATTCAAGGGTTCTTCGATTGTCCAGTCGATAATTTACGCGCCAGTCCATTTTTACTGCAGTATATTCAAGAGAGTGTGAGTATAAATAATTCTGCACCTGTTCTGTCTACATATTTTAAAATATTCTCTACCCTCAGATTCCAGATTATCGAAATTCTGTTATTGTCGCTAAAAATCCTGGAAGTGCAAAGAAAGCCACGAGTTATGCTGAGAGATTGAGAGTGGGGATAGCCGTTATTCATGGTGAGCAGAGAGAATCAGAATCTGATATGAATGATGGTAGAAATTCACCACCATCAGTATTACTGTCATCAAGAACAATGGAAGTAGGTGTTGGGGTTCCTTCCCATCCTGCTAAAGAGAAACCACCAATTAACGTGGTTGGGGATGTAAGCGGTCACATTGCCATAATGGTGGTAAGTACTCTTTATCTTTACTATTGTCTCTTTCTTACTGATTAATCATCATTGATTGACCATGCTTCAGGATGATATGGTCGATGATATGCAGTCATTCGTTGCGGCAGCTGAATTATTAAAAGAACGAGGAGCATACAAAATTTATGTTCTCGCAACTCATGGACTTCTCAGCTCAGACGCTCCAAAACTCATCGAGGAATCCCCCATCGACGAGGTAAACTAAATTCTCTATTATATTATAATACTATTAATAAATTCTACACGGAATTTATGAAATATTTATTTTATTTAGGTGGTTGTGACTAACACAATTCCCCATGAATTGCAAAAAAGTCAATGCGCCAAGATAAAAACTGTTGATATCAGTATACTCCTTGCAGAAGCTATCCGCCGAATGCATAACAAGGAATCCATGTCGTACTTGTTTAGGAACGTCACCACAGAGGATTAAATTGAAACCGCGAGTTATGGTTATTTTCTTATAAAACGTACTAGCTTTTGTGTAACGATGAAAACGAGGAAATGTTATGAGTGTAGATTCGATAAGATTCAATTAATCAGATTGTGAGTATCGTCTGAGGGAAATGATAAACTCGATAGCGATCCTTTGGTCACTGTTTCAACTACTTTAGGGACCACATGAGAATCATGTTTGTTTCGTAATTTTCTACAATCAACCGAAGAGTACACAGTACTGAATATTTCAGGGGCATGCATGAATTTGATATATATAGATATACCGGAAATAAGATTTAAAGGTTCACATTGTATGGATAAATCGACAAAGCAATCTTGGTCCTTGGTCTTACTATTTTTTTACATTATATCGAATGTCTACGAGAAACCACAAAAATGTGTTTGTACAAATACTCATACACTATTCCAATCATGTATTTTTTTTCTCAATTTTTACATTTACATCGTGAATTATTCTTCATGAAATTGAATTATTCTATGTAAAATTATATTATAATCATTGTATTTTGCACTGTAGAAGCGCTAACCAAGTGATCATGTGCATAAAAATAATAATCTGTGAGAATTATTCTCTGGATGATAATAATAATTATTGTGAGTAAATAAATTAAGTGTATTGATGTTACCATGGTATCAAATAACTGCTTGGCAACTGTCTGTTATATTTCCATGTCCTCAATAATTTATCCAGAGACAGTTAAGGAAAAGTAATAACTATGTCGAGGGTGGAACAATTGGGATTGAGTGAAATTTGTCTTTCGCTTCAAAGCGATGAGAAGAAGAAGCGATTGAAGGCACTGGAAAAATTTGAAAATATAGTCTCAAGCAGGGATTGGTCAAAAAGTGAATTATTAGAGATATGGCAAATAATGAGTAAACACTTGGCAAAATCACTAACAGATAACGCAGAATCTTGCAGAAACTTGTCTATTGAAATAACAAAGATATTACTATCATCTCTCCCTGGGTTGGGAAAAAATATAATATATTTAATGCCGGTGTTAGTGCGACGCCTAGGATCCCAGGAGATGATCGAAACTTCGGAGGAAGTCAGACTGAATTGTGTTGTCCTACTTCGAGTGATAATTAAAAAATACGAAGAGCATTTACCGGTTTATATCGATGATATTATGGTAATACTCGCTAAAACAGTAATTGATAATTATCCGAAGATAAAGAGTGAGAGCTGTGAAGCTATTTCTGAACTGGCAAGGAGCATTCCAACTCACTTTTATGCTAAGAATGAAATGATTGTCCAACCGGTACTGAGTAATTTCAAGCATCAACATTACAGAATTCGCGTGGCAAGTGTCAAAGCTATTGGCAATGTTTTACGGTATGGAAATAATAAATCTTTGCCAGATGTCGCCTCTTGCCTGGCCGCCAGATTATTCGATCAAAGTGGAGTTGTTAGAGCAGGTAAATCATTTTTCTATTTCAGTGTTTAAACAATTTATCAATATTATGACGTTACTTTTTCAGCTGTTATCGAAGTGGCTGGTGATTGGTTATTGAACCTTCGAGATCGATACAGCTGGTGGTTCAAGCTGTTACCTCTTCTATTAACTGGACTTCACGATGAAATAGCAGATATTCGACTGAAAGCCCAGACTTTATGGTGTGCCACGGGTAAACAATTCCTCCAGGAAAACGAATCTGACGAGAAAATAAAAGATAAAATGGATTATTTGACTTCCCCTCCTGAGCATTATCCACCAGGCAGTATGATAACTTTAATTTTAATTGATTAATTAATTAATTCGCCGAATTATATTGATGTATTCTTTGATTTCATTTCATGCAGTCGAAAGACCCAATTTGGGATGTCGAATAATCGTCCAACAGAACCTGAGTAAATTAATTACTGGGATATGTAATGAGTTGGATGATTGGCTGGCGGACATACGTGTGAGATCAGCTCAGTTATTAGCTGTACTAGTTTTAAATGCAGAGCAAGATACAATTCAACATATAGAGAAGCTTTTACCAGCGATGTACAAAGCTTGCGCTGATGAGGATAACAGAGTAGCTGTCAATGTCATTACAGCAGCTGAATATATGGGATATTTCGTTCCACCCCAAAGTTATTGTCGTCTTGTCCTTCCGACTATACAAGAGGGCAATATTCATTTTGGACATTTGGCATTTTTCTCCGCTATTCTCCGAAATAGTCCACGTCAACCACTCGTCGAGCAACTGGAAATTATTGCCCGTTTCTTACATCAATCGTATATTTGTCGAAGTAAAAAGGCGAAATATCAACGGGAATTATTGAATTGTTGTCATGCATTACTTCAAGTTTGTCAAGAGGTTTGTTAATAGAATTACGACGTGATACATATTTTAATGATAATAAATTATTTTTAGGATTGTGTTATTGTGTCTCGGCAACTGTTTATCGCGATATTCACCGCTTGGTCATTATCGCACGAGCAAGTGACGCAAAATTTTGCTAAAAAATTATTGGAAAAGCTGAGGGAGAAGAGCGGATTTGAAACTCTACAGGATTTATACATCTCGCATCTCCCTACATTGCTGGATGATTTGGAGAAGACTGCGAATACTTGGACGGCTCATAGTGCAGAGGTGAAAATATTTCAACTCTGTTTAACAGAAGCTTATGCTGCAGCTCTCGAAAATTTCAACGTTCTTCTATTAATCCTGAGAAAAACCATGGAAAAAGACTGCGACGTCGAGCTTAAATTGAAATTGTTTATTCATCTGTCGGAATTATTCCAGCATCGATGTGAATTTTCCACGGGGCATGAAGACTACAATAAATTTATTGTAGAATTCCTGAAAGATATATTAATCCCGTATTTAGTGTGGACTGCGGGGAGATCAGCTGAAGCGCTTAGAACAGCAGCTATTGGATGTCTATGTGCAATTTTTGATAATCAAGTCGATGAAATTGATTTTAAACAGGAGGTGGACTCAACGTTTTGTGATAAACAATTGTTTTTGCCAATTTTCCAAGAGATAAAACCAGTACTTATATCTCTGGTCGATGATAATTCACGGAAAACACGATTGTTCGCTCTTCGTGCTATATATTTGATGATAAATCATGCATCGAAGGTACGGGGTTTGACTGAAGAGGATATCATTGAGATTTACCCTGGAATCATTCGAAAATTGGATGATAGTTGTGATGATATCAGATTTGCAGCTGTGGAAACATTAGTTTTCGTGTGGAAGGCGTCATACAAGCATCAGTTCAATCTCGGTAGCAGTCATATAGATTATCTTTATACATCCATCATCATCCACTTGGACGATCCAGAAGAGCATTTCCACACTCTCGTATTTGGTAACTATAAAAAAATATATTACAAATGCATATTCTATATTTATTTTTGCAGATGCAATGATGGAACTGGCGGAAATAGAACCTGTTATGCTTGCGGATAAAATAGAAAGGTGTAAAATTAATTTTCGCAATCAAAAAGCATTGGAAAAACTCCAGGACAAATGCCGGAATTTAATTAATTAAACAACGAATGAATGACAGTCACTGTACAATTGAAAATAAAAATGTAAAAACCAGAGTACTAGTTAGTGATGAAATTGTACAAATTATATAATTCGAGGAATTGACGATTTAATAATTTTTTGAGATTTTATGAGGTTCCCCTGATACTTTTTCAGTATGAATGCTTTTTGTTTATTTGTTTAACTAAAATTTAGCCGACTGTAGAACGTGCGGAAGGGGGAAACCACATCTTGTGGAATTTCAATGAAAAAAATTATTCAATATGTTGCAGATATACCACTAATAAATTTATATTTACAGAATGAGCGCGTTGTCTTAATGGTAACGTGCTTGCCTACCACGCCGACGGCCAGGGTTCGATCCCGCCGTCA